AAAAAAAAAAAAAAAAAAAAAAAAACCTCATGTTTAGACTTACATGCCATCCCCAAGACATCTCATTATGTGTATGCAAATATCAATAAAGTCCAAATCACAAAACACTTCTGATCCCAAGCATTTACATAAGGAATATCGAACGTATAACCAAAAAGATTAAAAAACAAGAAGTCAGGTGTGGTGTCGCACACCAAGAACTCAAACAGAAGCCTATGTTCATAGCAGCACTGTTCATAATAGCCAAGAGGCAAAAACAACTCAAACTTCCATCAATGGATGCAGCAAATAAACAAAAAGTGGACTCCATATAAATATGGACTCCATATAATGGAGTCTCAAAAAGAAAAAAGTTCTGTCWAGTGCTACAATATGGATAAACCTTGAGGATATCAAGCTATGTGAAATAAAAAAGAAAAGCATTTTATGATTCCACTTATAAGGTATCTAAAGTACTCAAATTCATAGAAACAAAAAGAAAAGTGGTTACCAGGGACTGAAGGGCAAAGGAAAAGAGTTTTTTTCAAAGGGATATACAATTTCAGATCTACAAGATCTTTCCAGACTTCTGGAAATCTTTTTGCCAACAATGTGAATGTATTTTTTTAAAAATACATATATATATATATTTTAGTTGTAGATGGACACAATATCTTTTTTGTTTTATTTATTTTTAAATATTTATTTTTTAGTTGTGTTGGACACAATATCTTTATTTAATTTCTTTATTTATATGTGGTGCTGAGGATCAAACCCAGGGACTTGCATGTGCATAGGTGAGTGCTCTACCACTGAGCCACAATCCCAGCCTGTTTTATTTATTTTTATGTGATGCTAAGGATCAAACCCAGGGTCTCACACATGCTAGGCAAGTGCTCTACCATTGAGCCACAAACTTAGCCCGTGAATGTACTTTACTACCACACAACTGTACACTTTAAAATGATTAGGAAAGCTAGGTACAGTGGCCCATACCTATAATCACAGCAACTTGGGAGGCTGAGGTAGGAGAATCACAAGTTCAAAGCCAGTCTCAGCTACCTAGCAAGGCACTAAGCAACTTAGGAGACACTGTCTCATAGTAAAAAGGGCTGGGCATTTAGCTCAGTGGTTAAGTGCCCAAGGTTCAATCCCCAGTATCAAATAATAAAATAAAGCACATCGTGCTCTTAAGCATTTTTATTCATAAATTAATTACAAATTAATAAATAAATCCCAAGTTGCTAAGATTACAGGCATACACACCACTCCCAGGAAATGGGTGAATTGTATCTCAAAAGGTTTTTGTGTGTGTGTGTGTGGGGGGGGGATACTGGGGATAGAACTCAGGGCCTTGTGTGTATAGAAGGCAAGCACTCTACCAACTGAGCTACATCCCCAGCTGTTTGGGTTTTTTTCCAGTTGTAGTTGGACACAATTCCTTTATTTATTTTTATGTGGTGCTGAGGATCGAACCCAGCCCTCAATAAAACTCTTAAAAAAAAAAAAGTGCTTCACAAAATGCTATCATTCACTGGTTTAAAGAGAACAGAGCAATTTGTTATAAGTACCCAAAACCCTGCTTAGAGGAGCCTATGCTCCTGCTTCTTCCAGGTGACAGTTCTTCTCTTTCCACCACTATCATCTTTTAACTGCCTAGTTCCTATTTAGGTTCAGATTCACAGGAAAATAGTTAAAGAAGCTGCAGAGGCAGTCAAGGAAAGGGGAAAGGAATTCAGTACTTAGCTTTACATTTAGTAGCAGAGCCCAAATCTTTATTAAACACACACACACACCACATATWCACAATAAGGTCTCTGCCACTTTCTTTTCCTCCTCTTGAAGCCCATCACACGTTTAAAAGGATTTCTCTGTTCCWGTGCTGCTTTACCCATCTACCTCATACGTGGATCTTTTTTTTTTTTTTTTTTTTTGAGTCCCAGAGATTTAACCCTGGGGTGCTTTATCACTGAGCTACACACCCATCCCTTTTTTAATTTTGAGACAGGTCTTGCTGAAAGCCTTGCTAAATTGCTGAGGTTGACCTTAAAGCTGCAATCCTCCTGTCTCAGCCCCTTAGGAGTCACTGGGATTACAGGCATGTGCGACCATGCCCAGGTATGGCATGGTTTGTTTTAGCAACCACTCAAAATGGAATTCTATATTTAATAGCTTCCACAGAGCAGGTCACAGTGGCACATGCCTGTAATTCCAGCGACTCAGGAGGCTGGGGCAGGAGGATCCCAAGTTCTGGGCCAGCCTCAGCAACTTAGTGAGACCCTGTCTCAAAATTTAAAAGGGGAGGAGCTGGGAATGTGGCTCAAGTGGTAGCGCACTTGCCTAGCATGCGTGCGGCCCGGGTTCAATCCTCAGCACCACATACAAACAAAGATGYTGTGTTCACTGAAAACTAAATAAATAAATATTAAAATTTTAAAAAAATTTAAAAGGGGAGATTCATGGCTGGGGGTGTAGCTCAGTGGTAAAGTACCCTTGGGTTCAATCCCCAGAACCAAATTAAAAAATAAATAAATTTWATATCTATTATTAAATCTTAAAACATRCCAGGTGTGGTAGCACACACCTATAATCCCAAGGGCTCAGGAGGCTAAGGCAGGAGAATCATGAGTTCAAAGTCAGCCTCAGCAACTTAGCAAGGCCCTAAGCAACTCGGCGAGATCCTGTCCCTAAATAAATTACAAAAAGAACTGAGGATGTGACTCAATGGTTAAGTACCCCTGGGTTCACTTCCCACTACCTAAAAAAAAATCTTAAAACCCACCATGAAACTCTGACTAAAGCCTACTTTGGTAAGTAACACATCTATAGCATATAAAAAGGATGAACAAGATAAAAACCAAATATTAACAATCACCTCTGAGTAGTGGGACTATGGCTGAGTTTCCTTTTTGACTTATCTCTACTTTTTATAATGAATCTGTAACTTGTTAATATTTTTTTAGTTGTAGATGGACATAATACCTTTATTACTTTATCACTTTTATGTGGTGCTGAAGATGAAACCCAGTGCCTCATACATGCTAGTCAAGTGCTCTACCACTGAGACACAGCCCCAGCCCTGTAACTTCTGCAGTAAGAAAAAATTCATTCTGGCTCCCAATTTCACTGTCTGCCTATCATAACACAGATACTTTCACACGTTACTGCATGGAAGGGGAACTAGCACCATGTGAGACAGACACCATTTCCTTCATATTGCATATTAAAATAAACCAAATAGCTGACTAACATGGTTAGGGTAACTGACATAAGATTACAATTCATGTCTTCTAAATTTAAGCCCAGAGCCCTTTCCATTCCACCATATCTCAAAGGGCAATTTGCATTATTGCTCATGATACTTTAAAAAAAAAAAGGCAAAACAAACCTCTGCTAAAAGACTGTTTTAAGAATATTTGCTATGTAACCTTGGGCAAGTAAGTCACTTACTTCTGAAGCCCTCAGTTTCCTCCTCTGAAAAGTGAAAGGTTTGGAAAACATCTCTTAATAGTCCTCCTGCTAATGGATCGCAAATCTAGACCCTATCTTCAGAGAAGAAAACCCAAAGGGAAAAAATGAATGTTAAGAGAGAAGTGGAGGCCTACRTTCTGGGGCCAAGGACCATTCTTAATGGAAACAGGTGGTGGACAGTCATGAGGAAAGAACCACTAGGGGAACCATAAGCTTCCTGGTTAAAGCAACAGCTGAAAGCTCCAGATTTGCTTTACCAACAGCACTGCTTCTATCCTGGCTAAAAGTCATGATTAGAAATTCCACACTCCCTAAGTAAATCTAGAAAAATATAAAAATTACCTTGGGGAGAAAAATCACTACAGCAATAGTTAGTGCATGCTATTTTAACTCCGTGGTTTTCAAAGTGAACTTTAATGTTAAAACGGCAAAAAACATTATTAATTCTATAAGAAGACCCCTTCATTCTCGTCAAGGATTTGCAGAGAACCTGAAACTTAAGAGTACTACACTTGTGGAAAAGGTGAAAGAATGCAATTAAATCCTCTCCAATTCACACAGAACCAAAGACAGTGAAAAGACCTTTAAAACGCGAAGTTCCTATAAAAGATTCATTGGGTATTTGTAACCTCTCAAACTACAGACATCATCAAGCATCTCATGCTCTCTCAAAAACTGTTAAACAGCCTTTTTACCCCACAGTAATGAACGTACAGCATCAACTCTGCTGACGAGAAAGCGATTCCATTTTGCTCAAACAGACTCCGATCAAAACCTCACCACCTTCCCCTCCACTATGGGAATGAACCCAAACCAATAAGAAGCTCCTTAGAGGATATGCAATGATCTCAGAGAATTAAAACAACATCCTGCCCGAAGGACCACAATCAAAACAGCACCGACTTGAAATCCAAAGCCAGGTCCCTGGCGAAGAAAGCGCTTTAATGTGCTCTCCACGTCCCCGGGTGCGAGTTTCCAGCTCGACTACTAGGCCGTGACTGGGTGAGCACCTGATGTTGGGGGGAGGGCGAGCCAAGGCGCTAGCCGATCTGGGGCAAGGAACAGGGGGCTCTCGAGGCTCGGAGAAGGGCTACCCTCTAAGGGGAGGATCCTGGGGTGCCCCAGGGCAGAGGACAAGGAACACGTGGGGCGGAAGGGTCAAGGAAGGGGTGTGCGGGGCAAGCAGCCTGGATCCGGCCAGGCGGCTGGAAAGGAGGACGGAACTGCTCCTGGGCAAGGAGCTAACCGCTGTGGGTTGGGAGGATGAAGGCAAAGGGCGCGGGGAGAGGTGTAAGGCCACGAGGAAGGCGGGTCTCTCTCGGCGCAGGGGCACGCGCCAGGCGAGCGCGGCGGGACCCGGGATGCCAGGGACCCCGACGCGCGGGAGATCACGGCCCTGCCTCCGGGGCGCGGGGAAAGAGGAGCGACCGCACCCGGAGGGCCCTGTGACCCGCTGCCGCCCGAACCGGACCCGCCCCACGGCGCCTCCCTCCAGCCTCCGCTCCCTCCCTCCGTCCCGCGGCCCGTTATTCCCTAGTCCCCACACTCACCAGCGGCTGCACCTGAGCCTGCCGCTGCCTCAGCTGCTGCCTGCGCCTCCGCAGCCGCCGCCGCCGCCGCCGCCGCCGCCTCGCTGCTGAGGCCGAGTCCCGGGGGAGCCTCCGCGTCCCGCCGCCGCTGCCGCTGCCGCCAGAGCAGAACACCCCAAAATGGCGGCACTTCCGGCACCTACCACCAGCGGGGAGGGCCGGGGAGGAGGGGGAGGACAGCGAGGGGGAACGTACCACCGCGGGCCGAGTGAAGCGCGGCTCAGGGGCGGGCCGAGCGTCGGCGCTGCAGCGCCCCCTCGGGCTGGGGAGTGGAGAAGCAGTCGCGCCGAACCCCCACCCCCACTTCCACCCCCCCTCGCCACCGCGGGCGGAGCCCTCAACCTAGGGAGCTGCAGGGTAGCATCTCTTTGTCTAGGAGCTCTACTGGAAGGTAGACCCAGGTTGGGAATATACAGTTCTCTCCTCTGTGCACCGTACCCGCAGGGCTTTGAATGACCCTGGTGGGCAAGCAGCGGTGCATACACGGAATGTACACTTAATAAAATATCCGATGAATGAATGAATAGTGTTTGGCCAGAATTGGTCACAGGGCACGCCCTCCTTTTTGCACCACCACACAAGCAATAGCATCCAGGCTTTCTTCTTTGTTGGCATGTAGAAGGTGTGTTGTAAGCTTTCAGACTTTGGTGAGTGCCTTCCAGCATGGTGATCAGCAGTGTGCACGCACAACCTGGCAAAATCCCTGAAACACCAGGAACTCATATGGATTATGTTGATTGCCCAAGCTAACCTACTTTTCCCAGAAAAAAAAAAATAATAATAATAATAACTTTTTTTTTTTAAACCCAGGTCTTTAAAGACCTCTTTCGGACTACCAAGCCTGAGGTAGAAGGATCTCGAGCTCAAAACCAGCCTCAGCAAGAGAGCAAGGCCCTAAGCAATTTAGCCAGCCCCTGTCTCAAAATCCAAAATGAAAAGAGCTGGGGATATGGTTCAGTAGTTAAGCACCCCTGGATTCAATCCCAGGTATAAATAAAGACCTCCTTCCTTCGGAGTGCTGGGGTCTAAACGGAATGCAAACAGCAGTTTGTTGTTTATCCCTCAGCTTTTAGACTTAGTGAAATGCACACTGAGAAAGAAAACTTACTTTTGGTACTTTTGGGCTCCATCCATTTACAAATAACTCATGGGTTTGCAAATGATTTTTCTGTAACATAATCTGGCTTCCAGAGCAAGGAAGTTTTATACCCACAAATAATGATTACAGGGGCTGGGGATGTGGCTCAACTGGTAGCACGCTCGCCTGGCATGTGTGAGGCCCGGGTACGATCCTCAGCACCACAAACAAAGATGTTGTGTCCGCCGATAACTAAAAAAATATATATATATTAAAAAATTCTCTCTCTCTCTCCAAAACAAAACAAAACAACAACAAAAAGTGGGCTCCCAAGCAGAAACCTCAAGGGAGAAGCATCCTTTCCCCCTTTAAGGAACTGGTAGTATGGAATGGAACAATTAGCCCCCRACTTGCACATTATCATATTTCCTTGTGTTATAGTTTAATATAATTCATAGTGCCAATATATGATCGTATTCTTGTAAATAATCATATGTGTAATATACTGAAAACATTCTGTATTTATAGACCATTAAGTCTTACAGAATACCATCACAAACATGACTATGATTAATTATATATTTATCTCCCAGCTGTAGAAATGTCCAACCCAAGAATCTGTCTTCTTTTGTGCTCCATAGAATTATCTAGATATTTGTGTGGCTTACTTCCTTCAGGTCTTAACTTAAATGTCACATTCTTAGTCCAGCCTTTCCTTACCACTCTACTTAAAATCACACATATATGCATACACACAATTCCAATCCCCCTTTCTTATATTGTTTTTAATCAAAACACTAATCGCCATCTAGCATACCATAATTTTATTTACATATTTTGTTTGTTTTATTTATAGCCTCCCCCCACTAGAAGATAAATTCTACAGAGATAGTGATTTCAACCATTTTATTTACTGCTGTATCCTCAGGGCATAGATAATGCCTAATCCATACTAGGTGCTTGATATTGTTGAATTAATAAACAGGCATATCTAGGTACTAGGTATGGAAAGAAAGAATGAATTGTTTAGACTTTAGAAGCATTTCTTTATTTATTTACCATCCATGAAGTAAATAAGGGCAGGCAGAACACCCATCTTGTTATTTTCTCTTATCTCCAGTGCTTTCCTGTGTCTGGCTCAATAGATATTTCTTGAAGGGCAACCAAAAACCTTTCCCTATGTTATCTGCCCCTTGACTAAGGAGTTCCTTTGCAGCAAAGGAGCTCCTTGAAGGGAACTAGTATCACTATTGTATCTAGTTACCAAGGCAGGTCAAGGTGTATTAGCCCAAAGTTGGGGAGCAGAACAATAACATGAAGAGCACTAATGAGTCATAACTTCAAAGGGTTACAGCAGTATAAACAAAATACTCAGTCCAAATACCAAAAAAAAAAAAAAAAAATCTACTGTGAGATTAAAAAGAGCACATAGCCAGGTGCAGGTTCGGTGGTGCAAGCCTGTAATCCCAGTGGCTTGGGAGACTAARACAGGAGGATCATGAGTTCAAATCTAGCCTCAGCAATGGTGAGGCGCTAAGCAACTCAGTGAGATCCTGTCTGTAAATAAAATACACAATAAGACCGGGGATGTAGAGATGTGGCTCAGTGGTTGGGTGCCCCTGAGTTCAATCCCTGGTAAAAAAAAAAAAAAAAAAAAAGAATTAGATTAAAATTTGTTTTGAAACATAGCCAGTGTGGCTAAGGGTTCAGGGAAACAAGCCTTCTCTGAGTATGAATGGAAGTAAAATTCAGATAATCTATCAGGATAAATTTAGAATTTTACATACATTTATAGGAATTTATCTTAAGGAAATAATCATGTAAGTGAAAAGATTGTTATTGGCAGGGGGTTTACTAGGGATTGAACCCAGGGACATTTTACCACTGAGCCATATCCCCAACCTTTGTGTGTGTGTGTGTGTGTGTGTGTGTGTGTGAGAGAGAGAGACTCAGGGTCTTGCTAAATTGCTGAGGCTGGCTTTGAACTTGTGATCCTCCTGCCTCAGCCTCCCGAGTCTGGGATTATAGGTATGTGCCACCACACCTGGCTTGCAGAGATTGTTATTTAGACACAATTTAAATAGCATAAAATTTGATACCAAAGCAGATTTGATAAAATAAATTATGGTGTATTCTTGACCTAGGACACTGTAATTTCAAATAATGACAAATAAAAATATTTAGTTATAGGAAAAGGTTTGTGATACAAGCATAGTAAATAAAACAGGTGGTATTAATAGGTATGCAAGGAGTATATATGTTGAAAGAGGAAAAAAAACAGAAAGAATATATATTAGAAAAAGTGCAAAAATGTTCTATATCTTTGATATTAGGTTTTGTTAATCTGGTTTTCATTACTATAATAAAATATTCAAGGCTGAATAACTTTATTWAAAAAAGAGGTTGGGTTGATGGTAGAGCTCACTAAAAGAGCTGGTGCATGCACAGTCCTGGGTTCAATTTCTAGCATCACCCTCCAAAGAGAAGTTGTTTTGGCTCACAGTTCTGGTCCAAGGTAGAGGGTCTACATCTGGTGGTGGCATTCTTGCTGACAAAGGCCTAAGGTTGCACAGGGTCTCACACAGCAAGAGACAGGAGGCATGCATGCTGGTCTCTCACCCTCTTCTTGGAAAGTAACTAGTATTCAATTATGGGGGTTCCACCCATGACCTTATTTAATACTAATCACTTCCAAAGGCCCCATTTCTAAACACCAAAATCAGATTATGTTTCCACCCTCTTAATACCTCACAGTGGGGATTAAATTTCAACACAAAAATCCTTGGGGAACACACCCAAGCCATATCCAAAGCACAGCATTAACCCTTTTAGTAATTCTGATAGAGATGTAGCAGCATTTTATTGTGGTTTAACTTTCTTTCCCTAATGGCCAATGGTTTTCATTACCTTTACATAGCTTATTGACCATGTGAACATTCTCTTTTGTAGATGCCTGCTCAAGCCTTTTTTCCATACACTCAACATCATTTTTACTGTCTGTCTTCCTTTTTTCAATGGTTTGTAGGAATTCTTTATGCATTTTGTTTTGTCCTTCGGGTTTTTTGGTTGTTGCTGTTTGTTTTGGTACTGARGTTTGAACCAAGGATGCTTAACCACAGAGCTACATCCCCAGTCCTCCCTAAATTGCTTAGGGCTTTGCTTAGATGCTGAGACTAGCCTTGAACTTGCAATCCTCCTGCCTCAGCCTTCTAAATTGCTGGGATTACTAGTGTTACCACCACTTCTGGCTCTTTATGTATTTTGAAAACAAGTTCTGTGGATGTGTTTGTATTACTTATATCTACTTCCTGTGTGTGGATTACCTTCTACTCTCTCTTGTTTTAATGGTTTATTTTGATGAACAAGGTTTTTAATTTTAACAAGGTCCCATTTATCAATCCTTATTTTTTTTTAAAGAGAGAGAGAGAATTTTAATATTTATTTTTTAGTTCTCGGCRGACACAACATCTTTTGTTTGTATGTGGTGCTGAGGATCGAACCCGGGCCACAGGCATGCCAGGTGAGCGTGCTACCGCTTGAGCCACATCCCCAGCCCTCAATCCTTATTTTGTGGTTAGTGTTTTCTGTGTTCCCTTTAAGAAATTTTGTTCCCCTAGGTCATAAAAATTCATTATTTTAATTGTTTACATCCATGATGTAGCTCTAATTTTTATGTATGATATAGGAGTCAAATTCCTTCATTACTTTCTTTCTCTCTTTTTTTTTTTTTTTTTTTTTTAGTAATGGGGAGTGAATCCAGGGGTGTTTAACCACTGAGCCACATCTCCAGCTCTATTTTGTATTTTATTTAGAGATAAGGTCTCACTGAGCTACTTAGGGCCTTGATAAGTTGCTGAGGCTGGCTCTGAACCAGTGATCCTCCTGTCTTAACCTCCCAAGCTGCTGGATTACATGTATGAGCCATCACACTGGCTTTTCTCACTTCTTTTCATGTGGATACCCAATTGATAGTGATAGCGGATACACTATTTGAAGAGATC